CCCCGCTGCTCCGAAGCGGGTGCCGGCGGCTCCGGCCCCCACGGGCGGATTCCGGACCGAGGGAGTCCCCGCCCCTGCACGGCCCCGGCGCTTGCATTACCTGTTCGCCGCCAGGCGCGACGCGATGTATCCGCCCGGGATCTGGGTGATGATGTAGCCCCAGAAGAACGAACCGTGGATCATCCCCACAGTTTCGGGGTCCCAGTTAAATTTGGCTTTCTACAAGGGCAGAGGGAAGGGAAAGGGGGAAGAGGGGAGAAGGCGTCAGTGGTGAGGAATCGCTGCCCGCGGCGCCGTCCCGGATCTGGGGCTGGCTTTCGCTTTTCCCTTCCTAACGAAATTACCTCTTGTAACCGAAATAAGGGACACCCGCTAAGGGATTCACAGCGACGCTGAGCGCCCGGGTTTAGCGGCCAACCGCTCCCTGGGAGGCCTGGTCACCTTCGCGAATGAAAAATCGGTGGGACCCCCGTCTTGGACCTCTTAGCCCGCACTGCAGAAGGGACCCTCAGCCCGCGTCCCCTGGGCCAGGGCTCCCGTGAGCACGCGGTGGTGCAGGACTCAGGTGGACAGCAGCCCTCTGCACCCGCCAAGGGAACTGGCGGGAAAGGAGGACGCGAGCTCAGCGCGCTGGGAGAAAGGGTATCTGCCAGTCGGGGATGGGCCTGGAAACGGTGGTGGTCCACGGCCGGGGAATTTGGGGGAGTCGGTGGGGACAGCACCGATGCAGCGGTGGGTGGCCGTAAAGGCTTAGCTGGGACGTGGTGAGGGCCCACAAGGTGAGACCGGAAGGAAGGTTACCAGCCCGGTATCTGCACCGGAAGTGTAAGAGACTTCTCCAGGCAACTGAGTCCCCTCTGTCTGCCTGAGAATAAAACGTGGAAACCCTGTGCATTTTGCAGGGTCTACTAGATCATCTGGAGCCCAGGGGTGAAGCCCAGGCTCCTCACACCCAGAGCGTCCTCCTAGTTTCTCCTAGGCCTGCTTTCCAGGCTGGCCACACAGGGCTCAGGACAAAAGGAGCCACAGTAGATTTCTGTGTCCTTGAAGTGACCCCCCCCCTTCTAGGTGTCGCCCTTCAGGCACACCCAGTAAAGATGAGGAACTGGAAGCCCCTGAACCCCTTTCTCTCCTGCGCTGCAGCTCCCCTCCCAGCCCTGGAGATAAACCTCCCAGGGCCTCTCCACGCCCAGCTAGTTGATCTGTTTTCTCTTTGGTTTAATTTAGACGACTAAAAATGTTTGGGTCGGGATCTGGAGGCAATGGGGAATAATAACGAATATCCTACTCTTATTTCTCGAGTGAGAGGAAAACACTATTTGTTTAAACTGGGCGTCAGTCCTCTGCTTGCACCGAGTCTGTCTTCTCCAGAGCCCAGCAGCCACATTCTGGCTTCCGCGTTTACCAGAGGGGGACAAGACCCAGGGGTAGAGCTGCGCCTGCAGCGGTCCGCCCAAGGGCTCGGAGCCTCCAGGCCTTACTCCGTGGACCTGGACGGGGAACGGAGGCTGGAAGGGGCCCGGGGAGGTGCCCACCTCCTTGATGACTTTGCCCCCGCGGTGGATCGTGCTGTTGTTGACCATGTCCACGATGGCCACGCCCAGGTTGCAGCGGATGCCGAAGGAGATGCAGAAGCCCAGGCCGCTCATGATGGCGATGATGTAGCGGCGCGGCAGGCCGAAGCACGTGCAGTCGCACAAGGGCGCCTTCTTCTCGGGCACCTCCAGGGGCTTCCCATCCTCCGTCAGCTCGATGGCCTCACCGCCCGCGTCCTGCTTCTTCTCCAGCACCCTGCGCGTCAGAGTGGGGGAGGCCAGCATGCCCGGGTTAGGCGCCTGGGGCGCAGGCCCATTTTCTCGGACACTTCGGGGCTGGACCCTGACCTGTCCCTCCCAGAGGCTCAGCGCTCAGCGTGGTGGGGCCACCCTGAGCCTCAAAACCTCGGGTGCCCTCTTCAGCCTTCTACAGCCCCCCCCCCACACTCCCGCAGCAGCTTCGCTTCAACTTTGATACCTTCAGGCCCAGGACCACGAATCCCCCTGGCGCAGGATCCTCCCTTTCAGAACTAAATGGGCAGCAGCGAGCTTGGATCTGACTTCCAGGCCCCCTCTGCGGTTGGTGGGAAAGGGCAGCAGGGCGCCCATCCTGGGCGCCTGTCCCTTCCCGCCCGCCCAGCCGGGCTCTACTCCCGTCACCGCGGTTCTGATCCTACAGCCACCCCGCAGGCAGGGGGACCAAGACCCAAAGGGCTGCTGCCTCTGGTCAGTCAGCTGCTTCTGAGCCCAGCCCCAGCGCGATGCGAGGCCACTCCTAGACCTGGAAAACTGAGATTGCCGAGCACTCTCCTTCCCGTTCCTGTAGCCAAGGGTGCTTTTCCTTCCTTACTCCTCTGTTACACATTTTTCCTTTTCCTTTTCTTCCAGTTGGAAACAAAGGCCTCTGCAGCATATGGCCGACTTGTAAACTACCTACAGCTTGAACATGAATAATTAATTATTCACAATCTTGCGTCATTACTATCTCAGTTACAAACACCAAAAAATGTCACTGGGTCCATTTCCAAAGATGTAAAATGTGACTCCCAGTTATAACTCCCCTTTCTGTGTAAGATTTCCACCAAGGCGGAAGGTCTCACTTAAAAAAAATTGGGGCGGGGGACAGTATTGCATAAAATTTCACCTCTCTGAGTCAAGGTGTTGTTCCAGTACCTAACGTATTGTATCCGTGAAATTTCTATTTTTAAAACGGAGAATTGTGAAAGGCAACAGCTCTGTAGCCCCTTGAGATTGACTCTGCATACTTAAACAAAGCAGGTCTCTGTTTACAATTTGCAAATATTTTCCAAATCCACCACATTATTATTTTCTGTGTCCTTTTAAATCATGCATGAACACATTTTCCCCCACTCATACACAATAGTGAACTAAAGGAAAATTTCAGATCAATTCCAAGAATGAATAGCTCTGGATGTTGCTGCCAAGAAATTGCAGATGAATAGAAAAAGAACATCCCATTTCCAAGATCTAGAAAATATCACCTGGAGAGCAGCTCATAAAGGTACTGGAGGAGAGGTGAATGCTATTCCTGAGGTCTGTCTGATACCAATGTTAGGAAACACTCATTTTTGTTCTAGAAGGAAACAATTATCCAAGGTAGTATTTGCACAGGGGCTTTAGATGCCTATGTATGCAAAGTTGAACTCTGCACTTAAAGTCCCCACCTGCTCCAGCTGGGCTGGAAAAGAGCAGTCCTTTCCAGGGTGGCTGAGGGACTGCAGGGCCCTTGCGGTATCCACTGCCGCATAGGTGTAGGAAGGAACCTACCCGAAACCCATCAGAGCAGAAGAGACTGGAAAAGCGAGTAGGCACATTGGTGACTTTCTTTATATCTCTTATAATTTACAAAGGCTTCAGTTCCCCAAATATGAAAAGGAGCTCTTTCATGAAATCATTTGTCCTTTGTGTCTGTCCTTTGTGGTCGATTCTGCTGGTATTGTTAACAAAAACTGTACAAATATCACATACCCAGAAGGATTGAATTTATTTCAGTTTATAGCATAATTAGTGCAATAGCCACAAGCGGGCTAAAAAATTTTAAATCATGCCTAGGACTTTCAGTCATTTTGCTTGTTTTGCTTGTTATTATGGTTGTTCTTACAAGCACCCTAATCTCTCACATGCAAATACTAGAATGTGAGAAGAAAGCTAATAATTGAAAATACATATATATTGCTTCAGGTTCAGAGAAAGGAATTACTTCAGGTATCAATTATTGATATATTTTGATACCTTTTCATTCAGTACAGATTCCCTGAGGGATTCTCTACTATGGTTTTGAAGCCGAGATCCGAATTTCTTTCTGTCATTAAGAATATCCTGCTTAATTTGTAGAGAGTTATATTTTGTTATTCATTCTTCTGCATCAAAACAATTTAATTTGAGGTATGCTGAGGACCAAAAGAAAGACTTTTTGAGCAGGTGCTGGTAATTTCTTAATTGCAAAAAGGATAAGTCCTGGGTAAGAGAGGATGAGAATTTGCAGGTACCAAATCAAAATGCACACACACACACACACACACACACACACACACACGCACACGCACACGCACACTGCAGACAGGTTCATTTAATGCAACATTCCTGCATTAATAAGCAGGTTTCCCAGCAGCCTGGCTTCAGCAATGAGCAGCAAAAAGACTTTCCGATCATATTACAGTCTATCTAAGCAACCAAGGTTTACCAAAATATTCCTGCAGATTCTTTACACTGAAGCCCCAGGTGCACAAGGTTTGCACTCTCTTACCTGTAGATCTGGCCAAGGGATTTTCCAGCAAAATTCTTTAGCCCCTCTTTTCCTGGGGCCAAAATCCTTTGTTTTACAGACTCCATTCGGGAAGAGTGTTGTAGTGTCTTGCCAGATCTAAGCAGCGATCGCTATGAAAGGCAAGGGCTGCGCATATTTCCCCATTCGCTGAACGTAGTGGTGGGTTTTCTCTCCTCAGCGGACTGGTATTGGTGTGCCTCAAGCACGGGTGCGAGTGAGAGAGGGGCGGGAGCGCGAGAAGGAGGACACAACAGAATAGCTGCCCGCAACCCACGGATTTCCTAATAGGAGAGTTGGTAGACACAGTCAGAAAGTCTCATTGGAAGGGGAGGATCTGGAGGCAAAGGGCGCACGCAGGGCCATGGTATTTGGGCGGTACGGATGCGTTCTTGTCTTGGAGTCAGTTCTTTGAAAAAAATGTTAATTCTCGATTTCCAAGGCTCATTGCAATCAAATATGCTGGCTTTCCAACGGAGGGCCAGAGATATCGCAGAGCCCTTGGGTAAGGGCAAAATCCGAAGAATACTACTTTTTAAAATGGTGCCTTTGCCGCAAGGAGCCGCTAGCACTTTAAAACTCCTGGGAGCTTCTGAGGTCTCAGGTGAGAGGCGCCGCGGGTAGTTTACCCTCCCTTCCGCGGCCTCCTGCCCTCGCGCCGGCGTAGCTCTGCTCTGCGGTAGAGTCGAATGAGGATGGAGAAGCGTCGCTGCCCTTTGAGGACACGAGTAAATAACAGATACACAGTTCTGATTTGGGTAGCACCGGGGAGGAATTTCTCAGACGGGCTGGCTGCGAGCGCCTGGGCGGGTCTCGGCGCAAAGGTTCAGCACCACGGACAGAGCGCGCTTCAGGACTCCGGGCGCTTCTCCCCGCAAGCCTGGCCCCCAACTTTCCAAGGGAGCTGGGCAGGCGCCCTGACCTGACCACGGGGCTCTTCAGGAACGGATGCTATGGAAACCAAGGGGGAAGATGGCATCATCTCCGGAGTTTGCTGGAAGAATGCTGTATATAGGGCTCTGCCAGGGAGGAGGACTTCATTAAAAATTGACAGGTTGCTTTGATTGCTGCCTTGTGCCTAGAACTCGGTATTGCAGGGAAGGAAAGTTCCAATGGATTTAACTTGTGTATGCGGGATTTGTGATATTTGTGAACTCCAGGGCACCCTGGAATATAAAACACACACACACACGAAATGCAAAATTAAATGGTTTATTTGTTTAATTTAACTCCCGATAAGAGAAAGAAGGAAGGCAACTAGGTAGGAGCAGAAAGGAAGAAAGATGGAAGAGAGGGAGAGAAAAAAAGCACAGAATGCTTACATGCAAGGCAGCAAATCTGATGTAAATTCTTTAGACTTTCAGGCTGTTTTACTTAATTAACTTACAGCTCTACCAAAATATCAATATAATGATGAAATTTGGAGCTATAGCTTGTGCTTATCAACAAGTTATTAATTGGTGATGTTTTCAGGATTTATTTTAATACATTTATTTTCCACTGAAATCTTATTTTTCCCTTTTCAATGCTTTGTCCTAAGAAAGAATCTTGAGAGAGAGAGATAGTCATACTTTATATGTATAGATATAGGATGAATGATTTATTTAAGAAAAGCAAGAAATCAGTGCTAAACTGATGTGAATTATTAATGCTTTCCACATGAATCACAAAACCTCTGAGATACAATTCAAGCAAATGCTTATAAAAGAGACTGGCCTTGAACCACATTCTCAAGGTCAAAATCTTGGCTGTTATGTAAGCCAACAGGGGGAGTAGATTTTACTTAGAGACCATAGAATGAAATCTCAGATCTAAATACAGAATCATATAAGACTATTCCTTGAACAGTTCAAATGAAAGCATGGATATTATTTACTGAACAGGTAGCTGAAAAAACATTTCACAAGTAGCTAAAACCATTTGCTGCTGTTAAATATGGTAACTGTCAAATTGTACTCCACTATAAATTGTAGTAAAAAATGATACTGAAGGTATATTTGTCTTATTTATATAAATGTGTATGACATATAAATTTGTAATAGAACAATAAATCCAATTTTTGAAAAAGCCCAGACTTTATAAAAACACTATCAAAATACTATCTAATTCCCAAGGAAGTGACAAAAAGTCTCATTAATCTACCTTCCAGCAAGCAAAAAAATAATAATAATAAATAAATAAATAAATAAATAAATAAATACTCAAGGTACTCAGGACTTGAGTCATCTGGGTGTTTTTCCAATTTTTGAATATATTAATTCATTAAATTTAATTCAGTCAGAAATATCCATAATTTTGTGTCTGGAAATTTATGCAAAAAAGATGAAAATTTTAATAGACATCCTTGAAGTTGGGGTGCTGATGGAAAAATAATTCTGCTTGAGTTTCCCCTAAATGACTAGATATTTAAACCACCAGAAAATGTGATGACCATATCATTCACTATATATTTATGAAGAGACACCAACCAACATAAATCCAGCAGCAAAGTATTGTTTCTATAGTAAAATAATTGCATTCATTCATCCTTGTTGAAATTAATATCATCTGTCTGTCTTCTCCCTCTTCTTGATAACAGTTTGAATGCCTGAATTAGGGTAAGTGCTAATACCAACTTACTCATTCTGAAAGTAGTCAGTGAGTATCAAGAATTACACTCAGTCCGGGAATGCCCCCTAAAATATTTCATGAGCCAAATAGGAAATAGAAAGGTAACTACAAAGGATTATGGGTAAAATTAAACAAGTGAAATAACCCAGTCTATGTGTGAAACTATACAAAAAAGTACCTCATTAGGCGATGTTTCCTTGTTTGTCTAAGCACTGGAGAGGGAATTAAGACCAATGAAGATAGTGGCAGCCCAGTGGAATTGGGCAGAAAAGCTTGGTGGCATTTGGAAAGCATCCTAGCTAAAGGGGAATTCACTGGCAAAGTCCCAAACAAAGGGAAAATGCTGCATGTGGAAAATTGCGGGACTTGTCATTGGGCCACCTGAGACTGAATAAGGTCATTTGGGCTGTCCTTAAATGTATACTTGCTCTCAATATAAAAGACATATTCAGATTCCATTTACTGACCACACAGATTTTCTTCATGTCTGGGCACAGATTCTAAACACTTCATTCATGTACTTTGGTGATACTGATAAATTTGTTTATAGACCAAGAAACCCTAGAAAGAAGTCCTAGTAATTGTCCATATGGCATACATTTAGGTGTATAAAAAAAAGATTTCCTTTCCTTTCTTCTTGACCCTAAAAATCTTACTATTTTTCATACTGGGGATTAAACTCAGGGCTTTGGTGCATCCTCAGTAAGTGCTCTGCTTATGAGCTACACCCCCAGCCCTTTTTATTTCATTTGGAGACAGGTTCTCACTAAGTTTTCTAAGCCATTCTCCAACTCCAGCCCTTCTGCCTCCTGGGTAGCTGAGATTACTGGCAAGCATGGTCATGCTCAGCTTCTTATATTCAATTTTACATTCAATTTTAACAATGCCTCAAATTCCGTCTAGACAACACTTCCTCTGGGAGAATTCTCTCTCCTCCTAATAAGGTTTCATCGACTATAAGAAACATGCATAGCACACTACAATTTATGAATGGTTTTCATTTACACGATGACCTCATTTATTCCTCGTAATTTTTAAAAGCTAAAATAGTTTTCTGTCTACTTTATGAAAGAAGAAAGTGAGGACTTACGAATCACCCAAAGTCGTGTACACAGCAATGAAAATAAAGAAATGGTACACTTTGCGAGAGTTTCTTAAAATTTGAGATTTTATTAAAATACACACTCTAATGAAATGGGTTCAGGGAGGAGCCTAGGATTCAGCAATTCTAAAATATTTTCCAGGACTGCGTGCCCTTGAAACGTACTTAGAATATCAGCAACTTAGCGGATGGGACATGAAATCGGCAAACACACTTGCGTCTAGGTTCTTGGGGTGATCAGTCCTGATGCTTTGAAATCATTGCTTAGCACTAATTATTTCAATTTCTTTATTGGCACAAATGAAAGCTTTCAGGAACCACTATCTTATCATCCACTTGTAAAAGTCAATTAATTTTTCATTATTTATTCATGACTATAAACCTTTATTTTTGCTTTGTCCCATGCTGAGTTCTTCAGTCATATTTAAGCCAGATGGTTCACCATAAATTGGAAACAAAACAAAACAAAAATATGAAAATATGCTTCATTTTGAAAGGTCTGTCTTCTTATATATTTAAAGAAGTCCAAAGTAGTTCTTTGTATTTCTATGAGGAGATAAGGAGTTTTATAAGCAATCGACCAAATAATTCGATGCATGGATTATTTTTATATTTGCATACAATATTACTCAACAGCAGTGCAATACGTATGTTTACATTTGTGTCTGTGTGAGGAAATGCTTTTGGGAGATTCAAACATTTTGCAAATATTGCCCTCTGGTGGAAGTATATGTCAATATTTTAGAAATAAATTGTCCTCAATTATGTAACTTAAACCACTGCTTTTTTATTTTTATATTTTTACTCTTCTTTTCATTTTTACTACTTGTTCAATTAAAATGTTCATCTGAAAATCTGAGTACCTTTGGTGAGAAACACAAAAGGATATATAATTTATAATTGCTAGTAGGGTACAAAATGTCTTTTAGGAATACACTGATTATCTAAAAACCTCTCAGTTAATAAAAACTTTAACATTCTAAGGAAAGGTAAATTTAATTATGAAAATACATGATACCTTAAGATGACAATTTCTGAAATTATCTTGAACACAACGTTTTATTTTATATTTTGACAAATACTCAGCAGACAAATGTACCCCCTTTGGGACAGGTCTTTTTTTCTAGAGTACAAATGAGTTAGCTCAGCACTAAATTTGGAAAATGAACACTCCTAAGGAGAAAATTGCTTTTCACAGATGGTTTTTAATAGTATGACTACATTTGACTTTAGATTCCCAAGTAAACATTCATTCTAATAACTGCTCACATCTTTCAGGTTGAAGCTACAAAAATAAGCCCCAGGATTCATCTGTGACTTTTTTCTCTTATCAAATATTTTTAAGTGGGCAGGTTTTACTTCAGCTTCATTTGGTTATACTTTGCAGTATTATCCTTGGAGACACTTCTAACAAATTACCATCATACAGTTTCTTGAGAAGCAGAAACAGAAGAAATCATTCAGTTTTATTTAAGAACAACATCTGAAGGGCTGGGTACTTAACTCAGAGACTCTGCACCTGCCTCACAAATGCAAGGTACTGAGTTTGATCCCCAGTACCTCCCCCTCAAAACTCACAGAAACCCCCACCACATCTGTGCACATTACTCAATAGCTTGTGCTGTCATCTTTAGTGGCCTAGTATAAAATGTCTTTTCATTTATCTGGTTAAAAACTAGAAGTGGGCAGTTTTATATAAATATACATCATGGCTTTAAATATGTCTTTTAACCATAAAATATGCATATACAATACTCTATGAAATATATCCATTTGGGTGTATTAGAAGTAATCTTACACTTTATTCCAGCCTTTTCTTTCTGTGCTCAAGAGAAGAAAAATCATTATACACTCTATGCCATTAGGCCTTGGGAAAATCCAAGTTTTAAAGTGACTAAAAAACACTGCCACACATTCTAGTCATAGCAATCTCTCCTAACTCCAGGACCCAATTTCTAGTTTTGAATTCCACAAGCTGTATATGATGTGGTAAATCAGAGAAGGACATTCAAACAATTGGCCTCTTTAAACTTTCAAAAAACACTTTTCCAAAAGTAAAATGTGTGGTTGTTACAGTGAACATTAGGGAAAAATTAAAAATAGAGGAAATGATGCAACTTACAAGGAAATGAAAGAAACACACCCTTCAATGTAGAGTGATCAAGGCAGAGGCCATTATGTCCCGTGATATTTTAGATAAAGTGGATTGAATGACAAAAAGTACTATTTTACTGGCTATGAAGAAATCTCCTCTAGGTTTAGTATCTCCCTCTGGGACCCTCTAGG